TCGCTGAGCTGGCCTGCTCCGCCCACTCTGCCACTTGAGCCACAGAATGAGAAAGGAACTTGGGGTGTGTATTATGTGTGCCAGTCCTGGGGCTTGAACTCGAGGCTGACTCAGTCCCAGAGCTTTCTTTCCTCAAGGCTGTGTTCTACCACTTGAGCCACAGCTCCACTTCCAGATTCTTTGAGGTTAGTGAGAGACTCAAGGACCCCCCTGCCCCGCTCCCCCTTCCTGCTTCCAGGTGAAGGCCAGCTTGCTGTCTCCAGCTGTGTGACCTTGGAGAGGAGACTCCGGCCCTGGGCCTCGGCTTCCGCAGTGGGGAGGACCAGGCCTGTCAGCCACACACAGTGTGAAGCCAGCCTGAGAAGGAAAGCCCAGGAGACTCCTATCGCCAGCGAGGGAGCAAAAAGCTGCAAGTGGAGTTGTAACTTAAGTGGTAGAGCTCCAGCCTTGATTGGGAAAAAAAGCTCAGGGACAGCACTCAGGTCCTGAGTTCAAGCCCCAGGACACACACACACACACACCCTCAGAGAAACTAGTGCTCACACACACACACACACCCTCAGAGAAACTAGTGCTCACACACACACACTCAGAGAAACTAGTGCTCCCAGAAGTTTGCCCCATTGTGGGAACTGCCTCCTGGCAGCCAGGCTGCTTGAGTTTGAATGACAGCTCTGCCCTCGGCCACTGTGTGTCTTGGGAAAGTGACTTTACCTCTGTGAGGCTGGCCGCCTTTGAGAATGGAGAAATGAAGATTCGGGACTGAATGAGGCTATAGGATGAAAAACTAAGCTGGACACCCCATCTCCGCCAGTCAGCCCTGGCTGCGGTGGTAAAACACCTGTCACTCTATCCATGCAAAAAGTGGAAACAGGAGGCTGGGAATCTGAACAAGGTCAGGCAAAAGCACAAGACCTCATCTGAAAAATCACAAAAGCAAAACAGCTGCGGACGTGTCTCATCAGTTCAGCACCTGCCCAGCAAACACAAGTTTCTGGATTCTAAGCCCGATGCTGGAAAAAGAAAGGAAAAAAAAAAACTCCTGAGGCTGGGGTGTGGCTTACTGGCAGAGTATGGGCTGAATGTGCACAAGGCCCTGGGTTCAATCCTTGGCACAACCATTTAAAATTATACAGTATAGCTAGGCACCTGTGGCTCATGGCTGTCATCATAACTACGCAGGAGGCTGAAATATATATATATACATATATATGCATATGTGTGTGTGTGTGTGTGTGTGTGTGTGTGTGTGTATATAGTGCTGAGCATAAATATTTGCCATTCCCTTTTTCTTATTTTTCTTGTCAGTCATGGGCTTGAACTCTGGGCCTGCCCTCAGCTCTTCAGCTCAAGGCAAGCACTCTTCCACTTGAGCCACAGCGCCACTTAGGGCTTTCTGGTGGTTCGTTGGAGATGAGTCTCACAGACTTTCCTGCCAGTCCTGGCAGTTCGAAGGCTTTGAATGGTGATCCTCAGATCTCAGCCTACTGATTAGCTAGGATTACAGGTGTGAGCCACCAGCATTTGCTCTGCCATTCCCATTATTGCTGATGACATAGTAACTGTCACCTAGTTAGCCGTCCATGGAGATAACTAAGAATCTCTGATTTCCAGCCCAGGAAATGTCCTTGGACTGGGGGCATGGCTCAGACCTAGGGGTGTGGCTAAACACGGAGTGTGGCCAGGAGGACTTAGCTGCTATGGGGTGTGGCTGGCTAGTGGGGGCGTGGCTCTGGGTTAAGGGGCGTGGCTGAGTGAGCTCATTGCCCAGCATGCACAGAGGTCCTGGGTTCGATTCCTAGCCTGCCAATTTTCAAAAGGAGGAAAGGAAGAGAAGGGAAGAACGGGGTGGGGGAGAAAGGGAGGGAGAGAAGAAAAGAGAAAAAAAAATCTCTCCTTTTGGAACTAATGGTCAAGTGGGGGTGGTAGAAAAGAAATAAGTAAATAGAAATAGAAAGCTAGTGGGTGGAGAGTGTTGGGTACATTTTTAAATAACGTAGCAAATGCCAAGAAGGTGATGTTTGAACAAAGATGAAGGAGGTAGGAGAGAGCTACGTGGACGGGGAGGGAAGGTCTGCAGGCAGAAGGAGCAGCCTGTGCAAAGGTCCTGAGACATGGGTTACTCCAGAAACCACAGCTAAGAGCCCCATGAGACTGGAGCCCAGAGAGCATGGGAGGAGAGAAGGGTAGGGATCCTGACCTCACTGCACTAAACTTCATCTCCAAATAGCACAAGGCAGACATCTCAATTTTCTATTAAAATACAGGCCTCCAGCCAGGCATCTGTGGCTCACGCCTGTAATCCTAGCTACTCAGGAGGCTGAGATGTAAGGATCATGGTTCAGTGCTAGCCCAGGCAGAAAAGTCCATGAGACTCTTATCTCCAATAAACTACCAGAAAACCAGAAGTGGCGCTGTGGCTCAAGTGGTAGAGGGCTTACCTTGAGCTGAAGAGCTGAGGGGCAGTGCTAAGGCCCAGAGTTCAAGTCCCACAACTGACTTTAAAAAAAAAAAAAGGAAAGAAGAAAAAAGAGAAGAGAGAGAGAAGGGAAGGAAAAGGGGAGGGAGGAGAGAGGAGATGGGCATCTAGCTCATGCCTGTAATCCTAGGAGACTCAGATCTGAAATCCATGTTCAAAGCCAGGCCAGACAGAAAAGTCTGTGAGACTCTTACCTCCAGTGAACCATCAAAATGCCAGGATCAAGTGATAGAACCCTAGCCTGGAGGGGAAAAGCTTAAGAGACAGCACCCAGGGCTTTAAATCCTAATACTAGCACAGAGAGAGCGAGAGAAACACAGAGACACACACAGGGAGGGAGGGAAAGGGGAGGAAAGAAGGAAGGAAGGAAGGAAAGAAGGCGGGCAGGCAAATCACTCATCCTTAGAAACAGTGTGAACATCCATTTGCCTTCCCTTGAACCGCTTATTCCTCTGGTGACAGCAAAATGGTGATTTTTAAAATTGAGATAAGGTCTCATTATGTAACCCCAACTCGGCTCCAATTCACAGTCCTCTAGTCTCCATTATCCTCTTATCTTCCAATTCACAAAGTCTGGGATTACAGGTGTGCTCCACCAAGGGCGGCTTTCTGCATGGATTAGTTGACACTACCAAATGGCGATTTACTCTTTGCAAGGGCCTCTGGTCTCCACTCTCAGGCATGCCACATGTGCCATAAATTTGGGCAGGATGCACCCAGGGCTGCCCCAGGCCCTTGGGGATCTCACGACCCTCTTCTCTGGGGCACTTCTTTAATTGGGAGGTGAACCAGGGTCACAGAAGATGGTGGCCACTGACTTGTCCCCTCCATTAGGAGGAGGCTGAGAGACTGGAAAGGAAGGACAATGGCTGTGTCAGCCACTGCCCTGGCCCGGTCACGACTGTTAGCTAGGTGGGGCCAGCTGCACCCCAGGCCATGGTCCCCTTCCGTTGTGCCCTCCTGTAGGCCCGGGGCTAAGGCTGACATGTTTGGCAGTCCCTGGAAACTGGGAAGACCTAATCACTATCTGAGTCTCAGAACCAAATTAAAAGCCTCCCAGAAACTACAATTCCCAAGATGCACAGCAAATGCCTGGTCTCACCCCAGCAGCTGGAGTGGCAGGGTTTGAACAAGAACCAGGAAACTTCACCTGTCCCCGAAACAGCTTTCTAGCCAATGCCACAAGTCCATTTGTGTTTTTCTTTCTTACACTTGAGGCCACCTTGGGGTTGATTGTCACCAACATGGGCGGCTCACCTTTGTAATCCTAGCTATTCAGGAAACTCAGATCTGAGGATGGCAGTTCAAAGCCAGCTTGGGCAGGAAAGTCCATGAGACTCTTCCCTCCAATTAATTCCCTCCCAACTGCAAGTGGAGCTGTGGCTCAAGGGGTAGAGCACTAGCCTTGAGCACAAAAGCTCAGGGACAGCGCCCAAGCCACGAGTTCAAGCCCTGGATCTTGCACAAAAAACAAGTCAAGCTTGCTTCCACAAGGGGTTTTCTGGCATGAGGGAACAGGGGAGGGGAGGGGAGGGGTGGGTGAGGAGGAGCAGGATTTGACCAGAGAGACCAGTCTCTGCCCGGGCCTGGGTAGACAGGGGAGTTGAGCCCAGAAAGGGCAACTTTCTCACGGCGGAGGCTCGGGGTACTCAGGCGCCATCTCTGATCGAGCATGTGGTAAGGTGCTCGGTTTGCCAGAAAGCCAACAAGTCCATGTCACCCCGCCTTGGTCTCTGCCGGGGCACCCCTCTCCCCACCTCGCGGATGCGCGTGCAGAGGTGGGGCCGAGCCTGGCACCGCGCAGGGGGCCACGTTCGTTCCCTATCTGCTGAATGAATGAATTGCTTTTGTCCATTGTGCACCCCAAGAAACAGGGACACCCGGGACCCTCCCTATTCATCCCTGCGCCTCCCCCCCCCCCCCCCCCGCCAGGAATGAATGAATCGTTTTATTCGCCCTAAGGATGGTGGGATGGGGCCGAGGGGGCCGGGAAGCGGGGACTGGGCTGGGGGGCGCTGTCCTCGGCCCCTGCCGACCCCTCCCGACAATCCCAAAGGGCTTACTTTTCCGGACGTGGACACTTCACATCCGTCCTCCGCCCCGAAACTCGGCCAGGGTCCCCTGATTCCCACAGCCAGTCCCTCGCCCTTTAACCCCAGGAGCACACCCCCTCCCCTTCCCCAGCGACCCTCGGCCGCCAGCACGTGGTCCAGGAGTCCCGTCTTCCCATTGGCTGCTCGCTTCTTTCCTCGTCCGCGATTGGCTCAGAGCCCGAAGACCCTCCTCCCCCCGCAGCGCCGCAGTGGTACAGTCCGCCGCCTACTTAGGCGGGGCGGAACGGTCCACTGCGCCGCGGCGCAGGGGGGATCAGCACGGCCCAGGGAGGCGGGGGGGGGGGGAATCCCTCAGGAATGTCTCCATCCGTTCCGCCCAAAGCAGCGAGACGCTGATTGGCTCGGCGTGCCGGGCGCTCACCGCTGATTGGTGGCTCTGAGTCTCCGGCCCCGCCCTTCTGGCCGCCGCTGCGGGAGAGGCCCGAGCCGGAGTTTGCGGAGGGCCGAGCCGGACGCGCGGGGCGGCGGCGGGGCCTCGGGTGAGTGTCCCGCGCTCCGGGGTGGGTGCGGCCGCTCCGGGGAACCCCACGCGGCCTCGGGGGAGGGGGTCGCAGGCGCCGATCGCGCAGGGTGGGGCCGGCGCGTGAGGCTGCCGGGGAGCTCCGGGGGGGCGGCGGGGTGCCCAGACGCGGGACCCCAGGGTCAGCTTCCTCGGCGCCGATGGCCGGGGACCGACGCCACCCGCTGCTGGCGGGGGGTGGGGGGGGTCTCGGGCCAGATCCCTGCCCCCCACTTTTTCTGCTGTGGACACCACGGGTCCTGGCAGAGACAGGCGCGGGGACCCCCGCCCGGGCAACACCCCGAGCCCTGCAGGGCCTCCGGGAAGCGGTGTGAACCAATCATAATGATCACTAATAATAGTAATGATCATTAGCAGCAGCAGCAAGCTGGGGGCACGGATCACTGACTCAAAACACGTCGAGGGGCAGGGGGGAGCTGTTTAACTTCAGTTAAGAGGCGAAGCAGGGTGCCCAGAGAGGGAGACTGACTTACCCAAGGTCATACAGCCCTGGACTCGAACCTGTGTCTTAGGGAACCCTCCACCAGTCCAGATGGCCCAGGGTGCCGGCTGACCCCGGGGGCCAGGGCTGGTGCTCGTGGGCACAGGGCCTCGCCCCACCCCCACTCACATTCGAGCAGCACCTGCTGGTCTTTGCGTCCCTCCTTCCCTTCCTCACAGGGCACCAGGCCCCAGCTGCTCACGCAGGAAGCTGCCTGCCCTCCAGCTCCCTTGTTCCCGGCTCTGGAGAGGCAAGGCTGGGACACCTGAGTTACTACAGCCCACCCTAGCCTTCCATCGCTTTCCTGTGATGTCTGCCTTGGAGGGGGAGCCAGAACGCTGGGGTCCTGGGTGCCTGGAGGGAGGGAGCCCAGGGCAGCTTGGACCTACAAGGTGCAGTGGGCGGTCTCCCCGGAAACACTCCAAGCCGGTTTTTCAAGAGTGAATCAGATGCCTCCTGCCTGGCTTCTCCAAAGCAAAACCAACTGGGGGGGGGGGAAGGGGCGGGGTGTGGTGCCTCACCCCTAGTATGCAGAGGGAACCCCTTTCCTTACTTCCTGTTCACCCCCTGCCCCAGTCGCCTCCGCTGGGCTTCGTTTTGGTGGTGGAGTTGCTGAACTTCAGATCTTTCCTGGGAATGGAAGGACCAGGTCCTGGGACTTCACCAAATCCAGGAGCCTTAAGGCAAACTCTCCTTTGTCTCTAGGTTCAGAGGTGGGGTAACCTCCCCCGGGAGGCGTGTTGGGGAACTGATTTGGGCATGCACAGGGGGTGCTGTTGAAGAACTGTAGGCATGGAGGTGGGCTGGTGTGGTGTTGCACAGCACTGGGCAGGCAGAGTCCAGAGGATCAAGAGTTTGAGGCCAGCCTGGGCTGCCTCAAAAAACAAAGACTGTTGGGCACTGGTGGCTGACTCCTGCAATCCCAGTCACCCAGGTGGCTGAGATCTGGAGGCTCGAAGTCCAGAGCCAGTTTGCTCATCATCCCTCCCAGAACTGTGGCTCTTGGAATTACTCCCCTGAAGGGTGGGATCCATTGTTCAGGTCTGAAACAAGAGGAGCCGTGCCATCTGGCTCACGTTTTAAAATAGAGACACCGAAGTAAATAGCAGCCTGTAGACTGAGAGACAAGAGATTGGTCAGGGCGGTGTGTAATTAAGTTTGTGGACTTGAGCCAGGCTATGCCAGCAAACCGCGCAGGCTGCCTGGAGGAGGAGGCCCTGGAGGGTGATTGGCAGGCAGACCAGAGGAGGGTGCATCTGGCGGGGCAGTGAAGACGGTGGCACTAATAATGACAGTAATAGGTGCGCCAGAGGCCTGGGGGCGTGGCCTTGGTGGTGGGTGTGGTTTGTGTGGTCTGGCCACACCCATGTGCAAGACCCTAGATTTCCTTCCCAGCAGGGTGAATAACCAGGATGGTGATTGTGAGGGTGATAATAATAAGAACTTCCTCTTACTAGTGACAGAAAAGAAGCTGAGCAGGTCGCACCTGCGCGCAGGTCTCTTGGTTCCCTTCCTTGCCCTCAGAACAAGGAACTCTGCCTGTTTTTCAGACAAAGAAACTGAGCCCCGTGAACTAAAGAGACCTGGCCACGGCCACGCAGCTGGTGAGTGGCACCACCGTGCGTCTGAGGACCTGGAGGATTTATTAGTCACTGGTCTTCCTGGCCTCAACAAGAACTGATGGGGGCGAGGGGGAGGAAGGAGGCTGTGGAGTGCTGTGTGGGAATGCAGGGGGTGGGGATTATCTTAGAAACTGGGGTGCTGGAAGCTGATGGACATCAAAATCATTATAATAGGCCAGGCGCCGGTGGTTTATACCCATACTCCAGCTACTCGGGAGGTTGAGATTTGAGGATCGAGGTTAGAAGCCAGCCTTGGCAGGAAAGTCTATGAGACTCTTATCTCCAGTGAACCACCAGAAAACTAGAAGTGGTGCTGTGGCTCAAGTAGTAGAGCAAAAGAAGCTCGGGGCAGTGCCCTGAGTTCAAGCCCCATGACTGACCAAAAAAAAAAAAAATCATTGTAATAATCATAAGACATTTATTAATTTTTTTTATTGTTGTTAGTCATGGGGCTTGAACTCTGGGCCTGGGCACTCTCCCTCAGCTCTTCAGCTCGAAGCGAGCGCTCTACCACTTGAGCCACAGCACCACTTCCAGTTTTCTGGTCGTTTATTAGAGATAAGAGTCTCACGGACTTTCCTGCCTGGGCTGGCATTGAACCTCGATCCTCAGATTTCACCCTCCTCAGTAGCTAGGATGACAGGCTTGAGCCACCAGTGCCCTGCTAATGCTTTTTTTTTTTTTTTTTTTTTTGAGACAGAGTTTTATTATGTAGTTCAGGTTGGCCTCAAATTTATGATCCTTCTGCCTCTGCCTCCCGAATGCTAGGATTGCGGCTTCTGTTTTGTCTTTAAATGTAAACTGACCTGCTGGTCACAGTGGTACATGACTGTAATCCCAATACTTGGGAGGCTGTAGCAATAGAATTAGAGGCCAGATTACATGGCCAGCTCCAGCCCAGCCTGGACCACATAGCCGGGCTATTTTGACAAAATATAATAGGAATAGGAGATGGGAGCATGGCTCAGTTGGTAGAGTGCTAGCCAGTGAGCGAAAGCTGCACATACGGAGTGCAAGTCTAGGCCTTGGACCTAAAAAAAAAGAAAAAGAAATAAAAATAGACCATGCAGGGCTGGGAAGGTGGCTCAGTGGTAGAAAGCTTGCCTTGCATGCATGAGGCCCTGGGTTCGATTCCTCAGCACCACATAAGCAAAAGAAGCCTGAAGTGGCGCTGTAGCTCAAGTGGTAGAGCGCTCGCCTTGAGCTGAAGAGCTGAGGGACAGCGCCCAGGCCCAGAGTTCAAGCCCCATGACCAACCAAAAAGAAAAAAAAAATAGACCATGCATTTTAAAAAGTAGAGGACCAAAAAAACTAACTAACTAAATAATAAAATGTAGAGGACAAAGATTGAAAAGAAGCAATTCACAAAAGAACCAACCTAGAGTAAGTTATGAATGTGTAAAAAGGGCTGGACAGTAGTGGCTCAGGCTGAGATTTGGAGGATCACAGTTTGAGCTCATGCAGGACAGAAAAGTCCATAAGATTCCCATCTCCGGGCTGGGAAGGTGGCTCAGTGGTAGAGTGCTTGCCTTGCAAACCCGAGGCCCTGGGTTCGGTTCCTCAGCACCACATAAGCAAAAAGAAAAAAGCCGGAAGTGGCGCTGTGGCTTGAGTGGTAGAGCGCTAGCCTTGAGCTGAAGAGCTGAGGGACAGCGCCCAGGCCCAGAGTTCAGGCCCCACGACCGGACCCAAAAAAAAGATTCCCATCTCCAACATAACCAGCAAAAAGCATGACTGGAATGGCACCAAAAAAAACCCATAATAATAATAATTAAAAATGTAAAAAGTCGTTCTTGAGCCAGGCACCAGCGGCTCATACCTGTCATCCTAGCTACTCAGGAGGCTGAGATCTGAGGATCTCGATTCAAAGCCAGCTGGGGCAGGAAAAGTTCGAGAGACTCTTATCTCCAGTGAACCACCAGAAAACTAGAAATGGTGCTATGGCTCAATCAGTAGAACGCTTGCCTTGAGCTGAAGAGCACAGGGACAACGTCCAGGCCCAGAGTTCAAGCCTCATGACTGACAAAAAGAAAAGTTGTTATTGTACCTAAAAGTGGAGAGGCACCGGGAGAGCGGAGGACGCAGCCAGTGCAAAGGCCCTGAGGCTCGCCCATGCCCCATGTGTTGGAGCAGCAGTGGGGAGGCCTATGCAGTGGAGGGAGTGGGCCATTGTGAGGGCCGGGAGGTGAGGACCGAACTCCGAGGCCCACAGGGCACTGGGCGAGGCAGGAGTCCTGGCAAGGGTCACAGCAGAAAACAAAAATGACGTGATTTCTGTTTTCCAGGGTCATTCTGGCTGCCGTTGTGAAGCCCCAGGGGTTCGGGGCAGAGCTGGGACCAGGCGAGGCAGCTGTGTAGTCTAGGTGGGTGACTTTGGTTTGGAAGCTGGGGATGGTGGAGGACGGATGAATGAATGAATTTATGAATGGACTTGTGACCACCACAGCCAGCCGGGCTCCCCCAAATCCAGGATGGCCCCGCAGGCACACAGTGTGAAGGGAGGGCCAGGAAGGGTCTCGTATGCCGGAACATCTAAGGTGTGGTGCGTCATGTCTGTAAGCCCAGCTACTTGGGGGGTGGAAATGGTGGATCCCAGGTTAAAGCGTGATACCTGGTTATAAAGGAATGTGCTATAGCATGGCTCCAGTGGAAGGCCTTGAGTTGAAACCCAGTGCAGAGGGGGAAATGAACAATTAAAACCACTCCGGTGCCTTTGCTGACTGGCTGTTCCTTTCTATCTGGAACATTCTTGCCCAGATCTTGGTTTGCATGGATGCTTTCTCCTGCTGTTCGGGTGTCTGGTTCCTCTTCACTTGTTTGGGATAGACCCTCACTGACCAAAGATCTTGTCTTGCTCAATTACATTATTAGATATGTATACATTTTCTAGCTCGCTGTCTGCCTCAGTGTCTAAATTGTAGTTACATAATTCTTCTTCCTCCTAATTTGTTTGGTGTGTGTCTGTGCTGGCACTGGCTTTTTGCTCAGCTTTTTTTTTTGTTTTTACTCAAGGGTGGCTTTCTACCATTTGAGCCACAGCTCCATTTCTGGCTTTTTGCTGGTGGCTTTGAACCACTATTCTCAGATCTCAGCCTCCTGAGTTGCCAGGGTTAGATTATAGGCATGAGACGTGGAGCCAAGTATGGTGGTGGATGCCTGTAGTCCCAGCACGTGGGAGGCCGAGGTGGGAGGATCCCTTGAGCCCAGCAAGTATTTGGAATATATTAAGTACCCACAAAAAAAATCTTCATCAGGGGCTGGGAAGGTGGCTCAGTGGTAGAGTGCTGGCCTTGAGCTGAAGAGCTGAGGGACAGCGCCCAGGCCCAGAGGTCAAGCCTCACGACCGACAAAAAAATAAGGCAGAGGGAAAAAGAAGAAAGAACAGGGCAGTCAGGGTCCCCCCCCTCCCCAGCAGTGAGGTTACATCCTGAGACTCGTATCTTTAGGCCATGTGGTTGTGGTTCAACACTAAGCTTCCCTAGATAAACCGTGACTGCTATAAAGTCACCTGATAGAATGTGAAGGGACCGCCCTCCTCCACGGCTTTTATCCTGCTATAGTGCAAGATGGCGTGTCTGCCAGCACAGGCTTTGCTGCAGCAGCGAACACCCTCCAAGGCGATGTTTCTGGCGGTGCTGGGGCTTGAACTCAGGGCGTTGGGTTAGCTTTGCCGCCTGAGCCACGCCCCCTGCTTTAAGCACGCCCCCTTCGGCTGAGCCCCACTCACCGCCTCCTGGGTCGCCTTGGCCCCGCCCGTTTCTGTGTGAGCCACGCCCCCACTTCAGGCCACACCCACTGCGGCCCAGTACATGTGAGCCACGCCCCCTGCCTGAGTCACACCCACTCGCTCAGCCCTGTCACGCAAGCAAGCCACGCCCACTGCAGCTTGGGTAGTGCCCACTGCCATTCATGCTGCCGCCCAAGCCACGCCCACTACTCTGCTCACCGCCGCAACCCTGAGATTGTGCCACATGGGGGCCTTGCGAACTTTTGTGGCTGGCTGGCATCGAACCGTTGTTATTCCCCAACCTCCGCCTCCCAAGGAGCCGGAATGACAGGCTTCAGCCACGCCACCCAGCTTCATTTTTACTCTTGAGACAAGGTCTGGCTACGTGCCGGGCTGATCTTAAAACTCCTGAGCCGTAGTGATTGATCCTCTTGCCTCAACTTCCTGAGTAGCTGGGACTACAGGCGTGAGCCACCACGACCGGCTCGGGGGTGCGTCCCATGAGCTGTCATCACTCACAGCTGGTCTGATAGGCAGGCAGAGCGGGCCACCTTACCCAAGTCTGGAAGTTTCACTCCAGTTATTCACTGTATTCACTGCTTGGTTGGGCTCAGAAGTACTGAGCTCACTTCCTCATTGGCCAGAGCTAGTCATCGGTCTTTCCTCAGAGCGTCAGTAGCTACAACTGATAGGAAAGTAAAGGGAAAGCCTGGTGTGGTAACGCATGCCTGTAATCCCAGCATTCACGAGGCAGAGGATGCTGAGTCTGGAGACCGTCCAGACTGCAGGATTTGGACCCACCCGGATGGAGGGGGAGGCGTTGTTTGTTTTGTGCCACTCCTGGGGCTTGAACTCAAGGCCTGGGCACTGTTCTTGAGCAGCTTTTGCTAAGACCAGCACTCCACCACTTGAGCCACAGCGCCACTTCTGGCTTTTTTGGTAGTTTACTGGAAGTAAGAGATTCTCAGACTTTCCTGCCTGGGCTGGCTTTGAACCACGATCCTTAGGTCTCAGCTTCCTGAGCCAGAGCCATCAGCACCCAGCTGGGTCTGTGTTTTAAATACAGCCAGTCCTCGGTACCCTTGGATGTAATTCAGGACTGATTAAAAAAAAAGTTGATGGGGGCTGGGAAGGTGGCTCAGTGGTAGAGCGCTTGCCTAGCATGTGTGAAGCCCTGGGTTCGATTCCTCAGCACCACATACACAGAGAAAGCCGGAAGTGGCGCTGTGGCTCAAAGTGGTAGAGCGCTAGCCTTGAGCAAAAGAAGCTCAGGGACAGCGCCCAGGCCCTGAGTTCAAGCCCCACGACCGACCAAAGAAATCAGAATAAATCAAGCACTCAGGAGGGTGTGTTCCCCGGAATCAGTACCCCGGGGATATCCAGTGACGTTCATCTGGCCTTGTCCAGCGGTAACAGCGAGGGACAGACACCCCCCACCCCCCAAAAAACCCTGCCACCCAAACCCTGACCCCCGCTTTCCCGCCCTGCAGCTCTCCTGGCCCAACCTCCACTTCTCACCGCTCATGCCGCTGGGTCTGGGGCGCCGGAAAAAGGCCCCGCCTCTGGTGGAAAATGAAGAGGCCGAGCCGGGCCGGGGCGGGCTGGGCGAGGGGGAGCCGGGGCCCCTGGGCGGGGGCGCAGGGGGGCCGCAGGGGGGCCTGCCCCCGCCCCCCGCCGCCCTGCGGCCTCGCCTCGTCTTCCACACCCAGCTGGCCCACGGCAGCCCCACGGGCCGCATCGAGGGCTTCACCAACGTCAAGGAGCTGTACGGGAGGATCGCCGAGGCCTTCCGCCTGCCCGCCGCCGAGGTACCATCCATGGGGCCCGGGAACCCAGGAGAACACCCCAAGACCGCCAGGGTGGAGACAGGCACCAAAGTACTGAGCAGGAGGTGGCTGCAGGCTTCTAGGGGAGCTGGGGTTTCATCCAGGCCCATACCAGGCGCTGCCATTATGGCTTCCACCAAGAAGCCCAGCTGCTCCGAGGCTGAGATGCGAGGATCGCAGTGGGCAGGCAGCCGGGTCAGGAAAGTCCCTGAGACTTGTCTGCAGTTGACTATCGCAAACAGCTCTGCCTCCAGCTTTTCGCTGATTAATGAGGAGATGAGTCTCACACTGGCCTGCCCCGGCGGGCTGGCTTCCAACCGGATCCTCAGATCTCAGCCTCCTGAGCAGCTAGGATGACAGGTGTGCGCCACGGGCGCCCGCTTCCTCCCAGTTCTTCTCCCAGCAACCCTGCATGTCCCCCTGCAGGTGATGTTCTGCACCCTGAACACCCACAAGGTGGACATGGACAAGCTCCTCGGGGGGCAGATCGGCCTGGAGGACTTCATCTTCGCTCACGTCAAGGGCCAGCGCAAGGAGGTGGAAGTGTTCAAGTCTGAGGACGCGCTGGGGCTCACCATCACCGACAACGGCGCGGGCTACGCCTTCATCAAGGTGCACGGGCCGGGGAGCTGGGCGCCCCGAGTTCAGGGGCTGGAAACAGACTTTAGGACCTGGGGTCCCAACATCATGATGCACAGCTCCTTTTGCTCCCCTCAGAATCATGATTGATAGTTCCCCTGTCCAGTTACCAACCTCATGATTGATAGCGTCCCCTCCCCCAGCATCATGATTGACAGCTCCTTTCCTCCCTAATAGCATCATGATTGTCAGTTCCCCTCTTCCCAGAGTACCAGCATCATGCCTGACACCTCCCCCCTACCCGGGTACCAGCATCATGATTGACAGCTCCCCCCACCTGGGTACCAGCATCATGATTGACAGTTCCCTTCCTCCCAATCAGCATCATGATTGACATTCCCTCCCCACCAGCATCATGATTGACAACTGCTCCCCCTCCCCGCAGCGCATCAAGGAGGGCAGCGTGATCGACCACATCCAGCTCATCAGCGTGGGCGACATGATCGAGGCCATCAACGGGCAGAGCCTGCTGGGCTGCCGCCACTACGAGGTGGCCCGGCTGCTCAAGGAGCTCCCGCGGGGCCGCGCCTTCACGCTGAAGCTCACGGAGCCCCGCAAGGCCTTCGGTGAGGGGCCTGGCGGGGAGGGGGTGGGTGTCCCTGCCCCTCGCGTCCCGTCCCGTCCCGTCCCGTCCCGTCCCGGGCGCCTACCTGGCTGCAGTGCCGCGGCCTTCCGGCAGGTGGCGCGCGAGCGCGGCGGCGGCGTCGGGGAGGGGGGCGGCGGCGTCGGGGAGGGGGGCGGCGGCGGGGAGGGGGGCGGCGGCGGCGGGGAGGGGGGCGGCGGGGAGGGGGGCGGCGGGGAGGGGGGCGGCGGCGGGGAGGGGGGCGGCGGCGGCGGGGAGGGCGGCGGCGGCGGGGAGGGCGGCGGAGGCGGGGAGGGGGGCGGCGGGGAGGGCGGCGGCGGCGGGGAGGGGGGCGGCGGCGGCGGGGAGGGGGGCGGCGGGGAGGGCGGCGGCGGGGAGGGGGGCGGCGGGGAGGGCGGCGGCGGCGGGGAGGGGGGCGGCGGGGAGGGCGGCGGCGGGGAGGGCGGCGGCGGGGAGGGGGGCGGCGGCGGCGGGGAGGGGGGCGGCGGGGAGGGCGGCGGCGGGGAGGGGGGCGGCGGGGAGGGCGGCGGCGGCGGGGAGGGGGGCCGCCCGCCCGGGCCCGGGCCCCTGGCTCCCCGCCCGCGCTGGAGGAAGCGGCCCCCCACACCCAGCTTCCCCGAGCCATTAGTCGGGCCAAGTTCCCCCAAGCCTGGCCGGGCCGCCGCCGCCCCGGGGAGCCAGGCTTGGCTGCGCGGCCGCCCCTTCCCACGGGCTTCACTGACTCCCAGGAATGGCCCCGAGGCCCGGGGGCGGGGCCTCCGCGGCGCGCCCCCTCCTGCCCCTGCCGAGGCGGGGGGGGGGGGGGGGGGTCTAGATTTTTCTAGATTTTTCCGTCCCCGGCCCGGCCCTCCTGGGACTCTGCTCCCCGGCCCTAGCCGCTTGCGGGGTGGGGGTCTGGGGGGGGAGCGGGGTGCCCCCCCCATGCGCTCCCGTCTCCCACAGATATGATCAGCCAGCGGTCGGGGGCGCGGCCCGGCGCCGGCCCGCAGCTGGGCACCGGCCGGGGGACGCTGCGGCTCCGATCGCGGGGCCCCGCCACCGTGGAGGACCTGGTGAGCCGCGGGCCCGGGCAGCTCTGCGGGGCGCACGGCCTCAGCCCCCCCACGGGACACCCCGCGGGAGGGCCGGGGCGCAGCTCTGTACCCCAGCCCCGGGGAGGCCGAGGCGGGAGCGGGCCAGAGCCCGGCCCCTGGGAGGCCGAGGCGGGAGCGGGGTCACAGCCCGGCCCCGGGGAGGCCGAGGCGGGAGCGGGGTCACAGCCCGGCCCCGGGGAGGCCGAGGCGGGAGCAGGCCAGAGCCCAGCCTCCGCGTGCAGCCGGCCCGCGCGGGGATGAGCCTCCGGCCCGGCTCGCGGGCCCCGGCAGCCGGTCCATGTGCCCCCCCGCCCCGCCTTGCCCCCCAGCCCTCGGCCTTCGAGGAGAAAGCCATCGAGAAGGTGGATGACCTGCTGGAGAGCTACATGGGCATCAGAGACACCGAGCTGGGTAGGCGGGGTCCCCCCGGGGTGCGGCGGGCGTCTCCCGTCCGGGCCCTGAGCGCCTCCGTGCCCCCTTCTGCCCGGCCCCCACAGCGGCCACCATGGTGGAACTGGGCAGGGACAAAAGGAACCCGGATGAGCTGGCTGAGGCGCTGGACGAGCGGCTGGGCGACTTCGCCTTCCCGGACGAGTTCGTCTTCGACGTCTGGGGCGCCATCGGGGACGCCAAGGTCGGCCGCTACTAGGAATCCCACCGGACCTCATCTGATGGAGGGGGGCCCCGGCCGGAGCCCCACTTCCCAGGACTGGGGGGGCGGGGGGAGGGGGGCCTGGCCCCTGCCTGCGTCCCCACTACCTCAACAGGGTCAGGGGTCATGTGGAGGGCACCCCCCTCCCCGGCCACACCGGCCCCCTCTGGGGCCTGGGATCTTTTGGGGGAACTTTGGCCTCCTTAGTACAAAAAGGGGGCGCCCCCAGCCAACACTAAAGCGGGCAAGCCTCAGAAAATACACAAAAGGGTCATGTCCCAGCGAAACAAAACGGGGTGCCCCCAGGAAATACAAAAGGGGGGTGCCCAAGAAGCTACTAGGAAGGGGGTCCCTCCCCTGAGCACAGGCGGCACCGCCCTCTGCCGTGGGGAGCCCCTCCACGTGGAGTCTGTTACCTCTGCACCCGAGCAGTCTGCTGTGAACCCCCAAGCCCCCCCCCGGCCCGCGGGCGGCTTTTGTACGGACCTTTGCTGTGTGGGACATAAAGGCTCTATCTGCTGCTGTCGGGTCTGTGTGACTGGGGGGGGGGGGGGACCCCGCGGGAAGGAACGCGGCAGCTGAAACCCATCTCCGCTCCTCATTGAGTCGGGGCCACCCGGCGCGCAGGCAGCGCCTCGCATTCCCCACGGCTGGAGCCTGCCAGCCTGGACCCCCACACGTCCCCACCCCGGGCCTGGGCGCCTGGAATCCCATAAACCCAGCGCTTGTTTTGACAGTGAGCTTCATCCTGGGATTGAGGGGATCAAGAAGGGGGGCCGGGACCGGGCCAGACCGGAGGGAAGAGGTCCCCGCAGGAATGCTCGGGGTGAGAGCCGGTGGGGGGGGCTGTGACTCAGCCCCATGGGTCAGAGCTGTCTTTGGGGTCCAGGCAGTTGGTGAGGGGCCCGGTCCACACCAACTATGTGGCTGTCTTGGGGTGCTGGGAATTTGGGGGCAAGGGTACTCAGATGGGTTTCAGGGGTCTTTCAGTGTTGGGGTGACACCCACATCCAGCAACTGAGGTGCCGGGTACCAGGTAACAGCACCCCAGGACTGAGGGGCTGAATGCGGGGTGACTTGCAGTAACTTCAGGATGGGACAGGTCAGCACAGGGTATCGGGGTGTCACCCCCGGCTGCAACTGTTGGGGCTCCCAGCATGGCTGTCAACACCTTGTCCAACTGGCCCTCCAGCAGGCGGCCCGCTCCCTGGGGGTTCCCTGAGCCCCCCTTTTCCTCAGAGTGGAAGGGTGGCGCCTGCTGCCAGGGCCTGGCTTTAAACTCCCATGGCCAGACTGGGCCTCACACACAGCCGTCACCCACAAAACTGCAAGAAGGGGGGCTGCCAGCCCTGTGCCCCACACAGGCCCAGCCCCCCCCAGGCCCAGCCCACGGGGGCGGGGAGGCTCACATTTTCCAGTGTTTAGATTTTATCCACTTTATTAATGAGGCGGGCAAGAGGCCCGAGCCCCAGGGGAGAAGTGCTGCCCCCCTCACCCCCCTGCAGAGCTGGGGGAAGGAGGGCAGGCCACCTCCCGGGGAAGGGGGGCTCCCTCCCCTCGGGGGCCATCATCTGGGCCTCCAGCCGCCCCTGTCCATAGCCAAGAGCATAGAGAGAGAGGGACGCAGGGCGCGGGACGGGCCTGCGCGGGGTGGAGGCCAGGGTGGAGGAGGCCCCAGCCCAGGCGAGGCCCAGCCCAGACGCCGCCCCAGGAAGAGGGCGGGAGGCGGCGGCCACAGGCAGAGCTGGGGTGCAGCGGGTGCAGCAGCGGGGCCCAGCGCTGGACCATGGGGACCTGGCCTCCCAGGAGACAGCCGGTAAGAAGCCTGGGGCCCATCCTTCGCCTCTTCCATCGCCTGTGCGGTTCCGTCTGTCCCCGCTGCCCTGGGCCTCCAGTGGAGGGGACAGCGTGGGGGAGGTGAAGGCCTTGGGACACAGGTGGCAGTGGGGGACAGAGATGGGCTGGGAGAGGTAGGGGTGTGGCCGTGGGGGGAACACAACTGGGTAGGGAGGACTGGGGGTCTGGGACAGAGACGGGACCATGAGAATAGAAATGAGGCCTGGGAGCACAGAAATGGGTTCATGGGGGGGGGGTGCTAGGGACAGTGATCTAAAGCTGGGGAGACGGGAGCACAATGAAGGGGGACAGCGGACAGGGGACAGGTGGGTGAGATGGCGCCCTGGGCAGGAATGGCCTGGGTCTACCCAGAGTTGGGGTTCCCCGTGGGCTGATGCTGGGATGCACACAGGTAGGGACAGCAATTGATGTGGAGTAGAGCATCCCAGGCCCCCAACTGTCATCCTAGCTCCTCGGGAGGCTGAGATCTGAGGATCACAGTTCAAAGCCGCCCCCCCCCATACATCCTCATACAGATGGATGTATGAGACTCCTTTTTGTGTGTGTCTGCCCTGGAGTTTGAACTCAGGGCCTGGCCACTGTCCCTGAGCTGCTTGTGCTCACGGCTAGCACTCTACCACTTGAGCCACAGCGCCACTTCCAGCTTTTTCTGCTTATGTGGTGCTGAGGAATCCAACCCAGGGTTTTGTGCTTGCTTGGCAGGCACTCTACTACCATCGAGCTGCCTTCCCAGCCTATTTCTAGCTTTTTCTGAGAAGTTGATTGGAGATAAGAGTCTCGCAGCCAGGTACTGGTGGCTCACGCCTGTCATCCTTGCTCCTCAGGAGGCTGAGGTCTGAGGATTGAGGTTCAAAGCTAGTCCCGGCAGGAAAGTCCGTGAGACTCTTATCTCCAATGAACCACACAAAAACCAGAAACTTGCCTTGAGCACAAAGAGGCTCAGGGACAGTGTCCAGGCCCTGAGTTCAAGCCCCACAACCGACAGAAAGAAAAGATCCTCACAGGTTCTTCTGGCCAGTCTGGCTTCGAAATGCAACCTCAGCCTCCCCAGCAGCTAGGGTTACCAGCACCTGGCATAGGTGAGCTTTTTTTTCTTTTTTCCAGATATAAGGCTCGGACTCAGAGCCTGGGTGCTGACCCCGAAGCTCTTTTGCTCAAGGCAAGCGCTCTATCACCTGAGCCACAGCGCCACTCTTGGTTTTCTGTTGATTAATTGATGCTAGAATCTTACAGACTTTATTACCTGGGCTGGTTTTGAACCTCAGTCCTCAGATCTCAGCGTCCTGAGTAGCTAGGATGACAGCGCTCAGCATGTGTGAGACTCATCTCCAATGAACAAGTATAGCTTCAGAGCTGGAGCCTAGGACTAGGAAGGTGGCTTAGTGGTAGAGCGCTTGCCTTGCATGCATGAAGCCCTGGGTTCGATTCCTCAGCACCACAGGAGCAGAAAAAGCAGGAAGTGGCGCTGTGGCTCAAGTGGTAGAGTGCTCGCCTTGAGCTGAAGAGCTGAGGGACAGCGCCCAGGCCCAGAGTTCAAGCCCCTCCACCGACCAAACACAAACAAACAAAAAAAACGGAGGTGGAGCCTAGCCTTGAGCAGAAGCCAGGGCCTGAGTTCCCAGCACGCGCACACCAGGAGCCAAGGACAGGTCGGGTGGATGGGGAGGGTCACCTGGAGACACTGGGGGACAGTGCCCCCCCTTCCATGAGCCCCCTGTGGTGGTGCTGGGTCCACCAGGTGGATTCTGTACCCCTACCGCCCTCCTCTCCCTCCCCCTCCCCTCCTGCTATGTCTTCTCTCCTCCCCTCATCTCCCCTGCCCACCCCCCTCCCCTGACCTCTTCCCTCCCCTCATCTCCCCTGCCCACCCTCCCCTGACCTCTTCCCTCCCCTCATCTCCCCTGCCCACCCCCTCCCCTGGCCTCTTCCCTCATCTCCCCTGCTCGCCCCCTCCCCTCATCTCTCCTGACCTCGCCCCTCTCCCCTCTCCTCAGCCCTGCCGACCCCGGACATGATCCCCGGCGAGGCCTTCAACCTGAGCCTGGCGGCGCCCGGCGCGGCGGCCCCGGGGGGCGCCCCGAACGCGTCGGGGGGCCCGGGCGGCTCCCCGGCGCTGCCCATCTTCTCCATGACGCTGGGCGCGGCGTCCAACGTGCTGGCGCTGGCGCTGCTGGCCCGGGCCGCGGGCCCGCGCCGCCGCCGCCGCCGCTCGGCCGCGCCGTTCCGCTGGTTCGCGGCCAGCCTGCTGGCGGTGGACCTGGCGGGCCACGTGATCCCGGGCGCGCTGGTGCTGCGGCTGTACGCGACGGGGCGCGGCCCGGCGGGCGGCGCGTGCCACGCGCTGGGCGGCTGCATGGTGTTCTTCGGGCTGTGCCCGCTGCTGCTGGGCTGCGGGATGGCGGCCGAGCGCTGCGCGGGCCTCACGCGGCCGCTGCGGCACGCGGCGCGCGGCTCGGGGGCGCGCCTGGCGCCGGGCGCGCTGGGCGCCGTGGCCCTGGCCGTGGCGCTGCTGCCCGCGGCGCGCGTGGGCCGCTACGAGCCGCAGTACCCGGGCACCTGGTGCTTCATCGGGCTGGGCCCGCGCGGGGGCTGGCGCCAGGCGCTGCTCGCCGGGCTCTTCGCCGGCCTCGGCCTGGCCGCGCTGCTCGCCGCCCTCGTGTGCAACGCGCTCAGCGGCCTGGCGCTGCTGCGCGCGCGCCGCCGCCGCCGCCCGCCCCGCCCCGCCGCGCGCGCCCCCGCCGCCGCCCGCCCCGACGGCGCGCCCGCCTCCCTCCGCGGCTCCCGCGGCGGCTCCGCGCGCGCCGCCCGCGCGCACGACGTGGAGATGCTGGGCCAGCTCGTGGGCATCATGCTGGTGTCCTGCCTCTGCTGGAGCCCGCTGCTGGTGAGGCCCGCGCGCGCCCCGCCCCCCCCTGCAACACCCCGCCCCACGTTCCCGCGCCCCGACCCCGCACCCCTGCCCCCTGCGGCACCCCGCCCCACGTTCCCGCGCCCCTGCCCCCCTGCGGCACCCCGCCCCACGGTCCCGCGCCCCGTTCCCGCGCCCCGACCCCGCCCCACGTTCCCGCGCCCCTGCCCCCCTGCGGCACCCCGCCCCACGGTCCCGCGCCCCGTTCCCGCGCCCCGACCCCGCCCCACGTTCCCGCGCCCGGATCCCGCACCCCTGCACTTCAGCCACGCACCCCGAGCCCCAGCGCCCTCATCCCACGCCCCTGCGCGCCCCATCCTGAGCCCCGCCGTGCGCCCGGTCCTGCTGCCCCTCCGACCCTTCTAGAGTCACACACACCGCCCCGCTTCCTCAGCTCTGAGACTACAAGTGTTTGCACCCATGCCCGGCTACACTTCTGTCCTTTTGATCTGTGTGCGTGCCCCGTGAGGCTTGGGATCCCCCCCCCCCGCCCAGGTTTAGTGCTCTACCACTTGAACCACATCCCCATTCCAACTTTTTGCTCATTGATTGGACTTTCCTGCCCGGGCTGGCTTTGAACCCCTCGAGCCTCAGACCTCAGCCTCCTGGGAAGCTAGGCTGGCAGGCGTGAGCAGCCTGAGCCGTTTCTTGTTTGGGGCGGGGCTGAGGTTTGAACTCCAGGCCCAGGGCTTCCTCGGCAAGTGCTTCACCACTCGAGTCACATTCCCGGCCTTTCCCCCCCCATCCTCCCTGTAGCCGGGGCGGCAGGCGCCCCGTCATGCTAGGCTCGTTGGCTGAGAAGAGGGTCGCACCATGTGTTCCCCCCAGAAGTGGCCTCAAACCAAGGTCTTGGCCTCCCAAGTAGCTGGGGTTACCGGCGCGCGCTGCCTGGCGAGGCCTCCCCAGGCTTGGTAGCCCTGCAGGACCCGCCCTCGCCGCCAGGCCACTCTGAAACCCTGTGCTCCGTTTCCATCCTTTCCTCTCCACCTGCTTTCTGTCGTCTCGCCTTCGGTCCCGTGGTGCTTGGGGTGGCTGAGGGGGCCCTCCTTTCTAGTCAGAGTCCCCAATCCCTGGGGATCCCTTGGCCAGGCTTCTGTCCCCACGCCGGGCCCCACTGGCCTATCCCAGGGCGCCCCAGCCTCCTCTCCCGGAAGTCCCGCCCCGCCCTCAGGCCTCCTCTCCCCGCAGGTGCTGGTGGTGCTGGCGCTGGGGGGCTGGAGCTTCAGCTCCTTGCAGCGACCGCTGTTTCTGGCCGTGCGCCTGGCCTCCTGGAACCAGATCCTGGACCCCTGGGTGTACATCCTGCTGCGCCAGGCCGTGCTGCGCCAGCTCCTCCGCCTCCTGCCCCCGTGGGCCAGCGCCAAGGGCAGCCCGGCCGAGCTGGGCCTCAGCAAGAGCGCCTGGGAGGCCAGTTCGCTGCGCAGCTCCCGCCACAGCGGCCTCAGCCACTTCTGAAGGCGGCCCGAGCCCGAGCCGCCCCCCCACCCCCACCCCGGCCTCGCGCTGAGCCTTGGCGGTGCCCCGTCGGGGGTGCAAGACCCGCGGCGGCCGCGCGGGGGCGGCAGAGGCGCAGCCTGAGCCTCGCGGGCCGGTGCAGTTCCGAGGGCGGCCGCGCGGGGCGCACTCACGCCCAGGCTTCCATTGTAGCCCAGACGGCGCCCCCCCATCCCCGTAGGGGCAGGCGCAGGCGCGTTGGGGTGGGGGTGGGGGGCCGAGGTGAGTGAACCTCAGCTCCTTTGCAAGCAGGTTTCAGACGCGCTGTCTGGTCCTGTTGATCGTTATGATCCTGAGTGCCCCCAACACTTGGTCCACCCAACCCTGCCCGTCCTGGCCTGAAGGCTGCACCCCTCCCGGCTTGGAGTCCCCATGCCGATCCCTGAGCCGACCTCCTGCCCTGTGCCCAGCGGCCCCAGGCCCAGGCGCCCTCCCATCCATAGCCCATTTCTGCACACAAGAAGAAACGAGAGGATGCACGGATGGGTGATCCCCAAAGCCATTTTTTAAAAACTAAGAGCTCTGGTGGGCGGGGCGGGGCGGGGGCGGGAGAAGGGGCTAGCAGCCCCCCGCCACGAAGTCGAAGTCCCGGAAGGCCGCCTGCTCGTTGGCCGTGAGGGGCCGCGCGTCGCGGGGCGGGGTCAGCGTGGGGGCCTCCCCCGTGAACTCCTCGTCGAAGTTGCTGACGTCCGTGCGCCCCGAAAGCTTGGGCACAAAGGGTGGGGGCAGGCGCCGGGCCAGCAGGGCGTCCCAGCCCAGGGTCTGCGAGGGGGGGAGGCCATCAGGATGGGGGGGGGCCTTGGACAGGTGCAGTCTCGGGGTTGGGGGGAGGCCTAGGCTGTGGTCTGTGAGACCAACACCAGGAAGAGGGGGTACAGGTGGAATTGGGGGTTCAGGAAGGATCGAGGGGGTAGGTCCACTCAGGACAGCAGCCGTGGGAGGGGAAATGGGTGTTGGGGAACATGGCAGGTTTTGAGGGGGGATGGCAAGGCTGGGGGGCTCACCCTGAAGAAGGGCTGCTTCTTCACGTCCTCTGCGTCTCGCTCGCTGGACCCCAACCTCCGCTCCGGGTTTCTCCGCAGCAGCTGAGGATGGGGGGGCAGCGTGTCATCTACTTCCGGTTCCGAGTGCCCTTTGCCCTCCCCCCCCCCCAGCACTTGTGGGAGGCCCTCACCCTCCGCATGATGCCGATGGCCTCTGCAGACAGGAAGCGAGGGTAGCGGACCTCGTCATTGACGATGCTGTCGAACACCTCCTCCTCGTCGTCCCCGGGGAACGGGGACTGGGGACAGGGACGGGGGGGGGGGGTGAGGCCCCCTCCGCGCCCCGCGCCCCGCGCCCGGCCCCACCACGGCCCCGCCACGCGCGTGCCCACCCCGCCGCGGGGGCCGGGCCTCACCTCGCCCACCAGCATCTCGTAGAGCAGCACGCCCAGCCCCCACCAGTCCACGGCGCGTGTGTACGATGTGTCGGTCAGCACCTCGGGGGCCAGGAACTCCGGGGTCCCGCAGAAGGTGCTGGTCCGGTCCCCGTAGCCCATCCCTGGGGGCGGCGGGGGCAGTGTGAGCCAACGGTGGTGGAGGGGAACCCCGCGCCCCCCCCCGTCGTGGGGTCCCTCCAGATTCCACCCCTCACCCTCCTTGCAGAGGCCGAAGTCTGCGATCTTGACGTAGCCCTCGGTGTCCAGCAGCAAATTGTCCAACTTCAGGTCCCTGAGGGGGAGGACCGATAGGAGCATGGGCAGGGGGCTGGACACGGCCCGGGCCACGCCTCCGCGTGGGCGTGGCCACAAGAGGCCCGCTCCCTGGGCGGGGCCACGGGCTCCCTATTGGTGGAGAGAGCATGGGCACGCCCACGCGGGGTGGAGCATATGCAAATGAGAACATGCCCTAGATGTCCACAGAGGCCCTCCTCCAGGCTGTGGCCTGCACATGCGCGCTTACACACGCACGCACGCACAGACACACACACACCTGTAGACGATCTTGTGCTCATGGAGAAATTGCAAGCCGAGCACCACACAGGCGGAATAGAAGCTGCAAGGAGAGACGGCGAGGGTCACAGAGGCCCCGCTGGGGGGGGCCCGAGCCCGGGGGGCCGGGGGCTCACACGGCTCGGGGCTCGGAGAACACGTCGCTGTGGATGTGCAGCATGAGGTCGCCGCCGGCCGAGTACTCCATCACGAAGCACACGTGCTCGGGCGTCTGGAAACAGCCGAAGAGGTTGACGAGGAAGGGGTGGCCGGCCCGGGTCACGGCCGCCAGGATCCGCTTCTCGCACATCAGGCTGGGAGGGGGGGCGAGTCAGGGGGGGGCGGGTCGGGGGGGAGCTCGGCCGCCCCCGGACGGGTCGGTGTTTCCCGCTTTGGAGAGTTTCTGTTTTTCTCTCTTTTTTTGGCCCAGACCAATACAATCTTCACATGCTGAAACCTTTCCGAGTTGGGATCTGATTCTAAGGCTGCTGGGAACTCCGGGGACACTCGGCCTGCGCGCGCGCCCACACCCAGGCCAGCTGTCCTTACCCCTGAAGCCTCACCCGGCCCAAGTGGGATCCGAACCCGGAGCCCCTGACCCCTGCACCGGCCACCGATCCCACTCCTGCCCGGGCCAGGCGGGGCCGGGCCGGGCCGCCTCCGGGCGCCATCACCAGCAGGGCGGGGGGACGGAGCCCGGCCCCTCACCTCTCCACCTCGTCGCGGGCCACGATGTCCCCTTTCTTCAAGGCTTTGATGGCGAACAGCTCTCCGCTGGCCCGGAACTCGGACAGCAGCACCTGCGGGCGGGGTGGGTTCGGTGACTCGGTGGCCGTGGCCGGCTGGGGAAGCGGCGGGTGGCCATGTCCGCGCCTCTCCACCCCCCTCACCTTCCCGAAGTGGCCCCGGCCCAGCACCGCCAGGAAGTTGAAATCCTCCAGGGTCAGCGGGGACTTCCTCAGAGGGCTGTGGAGAGAGGACACGGTAGGGACAGAGGGGGGGGGGGGCCCCGAGGGTGTGGGGGAAGGGGTGTCAACCTGCACAGGGTGGGCCCTGAGGTCTCTTGGGTCTCTGAAGGCAGCTCAGGAGTGGTATTAGATTCCTGGATCGGGGAGCCCTGTGGGGGAAGAGCAAAGGTCACAAGGACATAGAGCCAGGCCAGACCCCCCCCAAGACTGTGAGAAGCCCCTTCTCCCCTCTCACCTGCCTTCCTTCTGCCCTCTGTCCTCATTCACTTCCTTCCAGCCACACAGTTCCCTTCCCCTTGCCTGGAACACCCCCCAAGTGTTTCCCTACCTCAGGGCCTTTGCACAGCTGGTCTCACTTTACCTGAATTGCCCTCTCCTTTCATTTGCATAACCCCTCCCATCCCTTTACTCAAAGGTCCCGAAGGCAGGTGGCTACTATATTTGTCAACAGAAAGTCTTTAACATCGCCAGTGTCTACTCTCTGTACTCCCCCCCCCTTTCTTTTGGTGCTACAGGGGTTTGAACTCAGGGCCTTGTACATGCTAGGCAAGAACTCTACCGTTGAGCCATGCCCCTAGCCCTACACAACTGTCCCCTTGGACTCAACTGGCTAAAAGGGCATCCCAAGGTCACTCCTGAACTGCCCCTCAGGTGTCTGTCTATGTCCCCCACGTCTGTCTCGGTAGTGTTAACACCTCATGGAGTTTTTGCCAAATTCAGTCAATGTGGCGTCTCACATAATTCAACGTGAGCCCTGGCTGGTCTAGAACTCTCAATCCTCCTGACAGCCTCCTAGGTGCTGGCATTACAGATGTGGACTATTATGTCCATTAAAAATAATAATAAAATAAGAGCAAGGTGTTGGTGGCTCACGCCTGTAATCTCAGCTACTCAGGAGGCTGAGATCAGAAGATCATGGTTCAAAGCCAATCCGGGCAGGAAAGTCCATGAGACTCTCATCTCCAGGGAATCACCAGAAAACCGGAAGTGGAACCGTGCATTAAAGTGGTAGAGCACTCAGGGACAGTGCCCAATCCCTGAGCTCAAGCCCCACAACTAACAAAAACAAAAAAAAGGGGCTGGGAAGGGGTCAGTGGTAGAGCGCTTGCCTTGCATGCATGAGGCCCTGGGTTTGATTCCTCAGCACCACATAAGCAGAAAAAGCTAGAAGTGGCGCTGTGGCTCAAGTGGTAGAGCACTGGCCTTGAGCTGAAGAGCTAAGGCAGTGCCCAGGCCCAGAGCTCAGGCCCCATGACATACAAAAAAAAAAAAGGCTTGATCTGTGTGGCTCAAGTGGTATGTGAAAAAGCTAAGCAAGGCCCAACTCCCTGAGTTTAACTTCAGAGCTAGCAGAGAACACAGGGGGGAAAAAAAAAAGGAAATGAGGTAGAAAATGCATTTGGACCAGGCATTCTGTGGCATGCCTACAGTCCCAGCTAGAAGGGAGGCTGGGGCAGGAGAATCACTGGAGCCCCCCTAGACCCAGACCCTGTTAAAAGTGTGCATTTCAAACATGCTTCTTGCACCTGATGGTGCAGAGAGGTATAGTTACCTTCTGTGGGTCACATAGCCAGGACACAGAGAACACTTTTTCCTTCTTGGACCCCAGGGTCTTTGCACATGCTCCATGCACACCAGATCACTGAGAAACACCCTCAAGGCCCTTCCCTGCCGCCCCCTTCCCCCGCAGCAAACGTGGCCGGGTTGTGCCACAACCATCTGGGTGACCCCAGCAAGTTCTAGATGGTTCTGAAAATGGAGCAGGACCGCAAGAGCAGAGAAGAGGCGGACACGCACCAGGCTGGATGGGCTGGACAGGGTGCCCGGTGGGCTCCTCTGGGGCGAGCTGTCCGAGTCGGCTCCGAGGTTGAGTTTTTCGATGGAGATGTCACTGCAGGGGAGAGGAGGAGGTGGGTGTGGGGCAGGCGGGGGGGGGGGGGGGGGGGGGGCGGCAGGGCAGGCAGGACTCCTTACCCCACGGGCCGGGGCTCGGAGCCGGGCGCGGGGCCGGGGCTGAAGGT